GCCTGACCTAGGGAGGATTTTATTTAGGGTGATTTTAAAAATAATTTTAAATAGAAACACAGCTTCTAATATTCGGTTTTTTAATCTGGTTTTATAGGGGTTTGTAGTTTTATGTTTTGTATTTGTACTGTTTTTAATACGCTGTGCACCGCCCTGAGTCCTGCGGGAGAAGGGCGGTATATAAATTAAATTATAATAAATTAAATTATAATAATAATAATAATTTAGATCACGTTTTCATTCCATAATCTATCAATTGAGAAAAATAAACGATTACCTTATCAAAAAATCTGCTGAGCTTGACAGCATTGGAGGAACCTGCAGCCAAGTAGCGAGGACTTGTACAATCCTGAAAGACCAAAGAATTATTTTTCTCTTTAATTTCTTAATTTTCTCATTGGTAGATAGTCCCTAAAAGTACAGAGGAGTTTTGAGGTGTGTGCTACAAACACATGTTCAAACAAAGGTGTTGTTAACAACGCCAATACGTCAGGCATTTCTCATAAAATACTTTTTTCAATATGTGGAATTCACTAGAAAAAGCAGATTCAGTATTTTTTCCTTCCAAAGAACACAATAAAATTTTCTTTTTGGTGGGGAGAGGCACTTGTAGAATATAATATATCTATTGCTTTCAGATAATTACAGAGAACTTATCGGACAGCTGTCATTAGATCCTGAATATTTGAATCTCCGATTTTTTTAAAAAATAAATGAAACTGTTTCTCTAGGTGCTGTATTAATTTAACTGGAGTATAGTGATTTTTCTAAAACTTCAATCCTGTTTTTACCTTCATTCTCAACTAACAGCTCTTCACAACTAAAATATATTTCTTCCTTAATTCTTTTTTTACACTTAGCATCTTCATTTGTGTATTCATTCCACCAAATACAAGCTGAAGCAAAATTTTATTTTCACATCCAATGGTAATAGTCTTTCTTTCAACATAAATAATCAGTGTTCTTTCCTTTGGCAGCTTAATGTATTTACCTTATTGTAATCTCTCTCCCACCCCTACTGTATTGATACCTGGTTTTGTAAATCATTAGTTAGTAGCAATCAATACACTTGTTGCCCCAGAAGACAGAAAATATGAACCCTCCATCCCAGAATTACTTGTCAAAGACAGAGCAAGTGTATCTATATACCAGTGGTTCTCAACCTGTGGGTCGGGACCCCATTTGGGGTCGATTGACCATTTCATGGGGGTCGCCAAGCAAGGCTGTCCACCATTTTTTTTGTCCGCCATTTTTTTTGTCCGCCATTTTTTCCCCCTTTTCCGGCAGGTGCCTTACCTCCCTTGGGCTGCGCCAGCTGGTGGTCGGCCTGCTCCGTCTCTGCCGCTTGCCAGATACGCCTCGGCCGGCGCAGGGGACGGAACCACGCATGCGCGGCGCTCCCAGGCGGGGAAAATCCTCGACTTACGACGGGTTGGGTAGTCCTCAACTTACGACCGGTTTAGTCCTCGACTTACAACCGGTTTAGTCCTCGACTTACGACCGGTTTAGTCCTCGACTTACGACCGGTTGGGGTCGCGGCATTAAAAAGGTTGAGAACCACTGCTATATACTATCATGTATGTGACACACTTATTTAGGCACGCGTGATCAGTGATCATTCTTCAGCTCCTAGACAGCCAATGTGGTGTAGTGGTTAAGGTGTTGGGCTATGATACCAATGTTCTTATTATCACTGAAAAAAAATATTTTTGAAGAAAGAGTAGGGGTAGGTTGCTAATAGAAATTCCAGGTAACTGAATGGTAAGCACTACAGTGAGGGAAAAATTATTTGATCCCCTGCTTATTTTGTACATTTGTCCTCTGACAAGGAAATGATAGGTCTATAATTTTAATGGTAGGTTTATTTTAACAGTGAGAGACAGAATAACAACAACAAAAATCCAGAAAACGCATTTCAAAGAAGTTATAAATTGATTTTCATTTTAATGAGTGAAATAAGTATTTGATCCCCTATCAATCAGCAAGATTTCTGGCTCCCAGGTGTCTTTTATACAGGTAACGAGCTGAGATTAGGGGCACTCTCTTAAAGGGAGTGCTCCTAATCTCAGCTTGTTACCTGTATAAAAGACACCTGTCCATAGAAGCAATCAATCAGATTCCAAACTCTCCACCATGGCCAAGACCAAAGAGCTGTCCAAGGATAACAGAGACAAGATTGTAGACCTACACAAGGCTGGAATGGGCTACAAGACCATCAACAAGCAGCTTGGTAAAAAGGTGACAATACTTGGTGCGATTATTTGCAAATGGAAAAAACACAAAATAACTGTCAATCACCCTTGATCTGGGGGCTCCATACAAGATCTCACCTCATGGATTTTCAATGATCATGAGAATGGTGAAGAATCAGCCCAAGATCCGGGGGGATCTTGTCAATGATCTCAAGGCACCAGAGACCATAGTCACCAAGAAAACAATTGGTAACACACTACACCGTGAAGGACTGAAATCCTGCAGCGCCCACAAGGTCCCCCTGCTCAAAAAGCAGATGTACAGGCTTGTCTGAAGTTTGCCAATGAACATCTGAATGATTCAGAGGAGAACTGGGTAAAAGTGTTGTGGTCAGATGAGACCAAAATCAAGCTCTTTGGCATCAATTCAACTTGCCGTGTTTGGAGGAGGAGGAATGCTGACTATGACCCCAAGAACACCATCTCCACCGTTAAACACGTTGGTGGACACATTATGCTTTGGGGGTATTTTTCTGCTAAGGGGACAGAACAACTTCACTGCATAAAAGGGATGATGGACGGGGCCATGTACCGTCAAATCTTGGGTGAGAACCTCTTTCCCTCAGCCAGGGCATTGAAAATGGATCGTGGTTGGGTATTCTAGCATGACAATAACCCACAACACATGGCCAAGGCAACAAAGAAATAGCTCAAGAAGAAGCACATTAAGGTCCTGGAGTGGCCTAGCCAATCTCCAGACTTAATCCCATAGAAAATCTGTGGAGGGAGCTGAAGAGAACTGCCAAACATCAACCTTGAAACCTTAATGACTTGGAGAGGATCTGCAAAGAGGAATGGGACAAAATCCCTCCTGAGATGTGTGCAAACCTGGTGGCCAACTACAAGAAACGTCTGACCTCTGTGATTGCCAACAAGGGTTTTGCCACCAAGTACTAAGTCATGTTTTGCGAAAGGGTCAAATACTTATTTCACTCATTAAAATGTAAATCAATTTATAATATTTTTTTAAATGCGTTTTTCTGGATTTTTTGTTGTTATTCTGTCTCTCACTGTTAAAATGAACCTACCATTAAAATTATCATTTCCTTGTCAGTGGGCAAAATCAGCAGGGGATCAAATATTTTTTTCCCTCACTGTAAAATTGAACTATGGCATTCTGTTAGCAATTTTTTTAAAAAGCCAAATTAATTGTTGCCATTTCCCTTAAATGTATAGTTCCCAAATTTGAGTCCTCTAATGCTATTAGCTTGCTGTTTCAACACTGTATAATTAGCAATAAATTAATGTTTAATTTTTACAGTAAAATTAATATCTAGACCTATAAAAAACCTGCAATAAGTGCATTAATATCAATTTTAGTTAACATTTTTATTTTTGTGCCTGCCTTTCCTCAAAGAAGTTGAGATAGTATACTAAATAAATAAATAGCAACCTTCAATTAAAACAAAACCAACAAATAAAAGGACAGGTGTTGACAGTGAGACCTGAGATTTAAATGTGTTGAAGCAAAGTTCACTTGGATAAAGGAATCTGAGTGACTGTTATGCCTAAGTCCCCTTGTGGCTCTCCAGTGTGGTTAGAGCGTATTGATCTCATATATCAAATAACATTCTGTACAAACTAAATATGGTCTTGATGAAAGTCATAGTTGTGCTATAGCCTAAGGTTTGCAAGACTTAAATTTCTCAATCCTGGCATGCAGCTATAAATATGCTGGGAAAAACTGTTTCCTGACTAAAGGGAATCGAATTAGTCTATAGGATAGGGACCATGGTGATGTCCTTCTTCAGGGTTATAAAGGTCTTCTTGGCTAGATACCTACTTTCATCCTTTCCATGTTAAATCTTGCATAATATACACACTTAGAGGAAATGGAGGAAAGATGCAGAGAAGATCCTTGGGCTCTTTTGATGTTCAAGATATCTGATGCTATGGCTCCCTCTGCAGGGAACTGGAAGACAAAATGGCTCAGCTTACAGTTAGCTGGAAATACAAGTCTACTAATGGAACTTTAAACCTTGTGGTGATCTCATGAAGAATTTATTCATTCATATTGTGAGACATAGACTCTGGATGTGTTTTGAAGAAGTTGAGACTCTGGTCATTCCAGCATTGTTGAGGTCTTCCTCATGAAGGATTGGGGCTCAATTCTATTTAGGTATAAAAAATATGCTTGGGCTGTATTGTGCTTTGTCAAGGACAAACATATTAGAAGCCTGAATTCAAGATTAGCTAGTCCAATTACTGTTAATCACCAGAAAAAATTATACTATGTTTGTAGTCTGTTGTTGTTCAGGGACACTGAAACATCTACCCAGTCATACACCAAGAAAACTTATTTTGGTGGTGTTTAGGGTATGAGTTGACAACTCCCAAATGAATTTCTAGGTTCTAGGACTTCTATTATCTGAAGGACTATTTCAGATGCAAGTTTAACTTAATTATGATGTCCCATTTTCATAACTTTATGTAAGAAAAAGACTGCTTGCTATGGGTAAATTATATAAGACGGAGCATGAACTGAGTCAATGCATGATGTTTTGGGAGGCATGTCAGAATTGATTGTTTGGCACATGAGATACTGACCTTAGCTCAGATATCTTTTGAGCCAGACAGGACTTGTTTGAGAGTCAGAATGTCTCTGAAATTCTCTTTCCTTTTAGTCTTTAGAGAAAATTGTTGTAACATTCTGAAAACTATTGTGCTGGTGGAACTAGTTTTATGGCCTTGATTTTTAGCAGATGACTTAAATTTGGAAATGTTTTTCTGTTGCAACTTGGGAGGAAAATATAAATGTGTATGTCTTGAAATTCTATGGCATAGCCACAGGCAACTATGAAGCACCGAGTGTCTATGATGAGAGGAATTTACAGTGGATAAATAAGACATAAACTGTCTCTTACTGCTGCCTCTTTACAAAATTGGGAAGGATCAAAGAACTGGTGGGAAAGTTGCTCTGTGGAAGTTAGGTGCTCCATAACATTCTTTGATTCTGTCTGCAAGGGAAAAAATAGCTTAAGGGTACTCTTCAGCGATAATGGAAAATGAGCAGGATTTATTTCAGGAAAATGACTATTCTTTGAAATAAATTTATGGCCAACAATAGCATTAATCCAAGCTGAGAAAATAAAAGATAACACAAACCAGATTGATTTCTTCTGCACTGAAATCCTCAACTAGAAAAGCAGTTCGGCTCAAGACCTCATTACGTTTTGTCTCTGGGATTTGATCTAATTTTGTTCCTATGACAAGCAGTGGAATCTGGTTATCAGCAAACTGCTCCCGATCATAGTCTCTGTGAAGGAAAGTGAAGATAAGATATAAACCAGTTTGTGAAATATTGCAGGTGGCACACTAGCTAACATTCACCAAATATACTCCTTGCCACAGCTATCTATCAAGATCTGCTCTTTCTTGGGGAATGCAACCCCATCTTTAAGATGCTTCACCCCAATCCCTGAGTACAAAAGTACTTCCATTGTGTCTGGATTTAATTTCAGGATGGTGATCAAGCATGAAAAGTAGAAAGTACTGCTAAGGAAGGTGACAGCAGCAGCACTCTTCAAATTAGCACAGAACATATTTTACTGAACGTGTAAGGAAACTTTATACCGGGTAAGAATCTTAATCTATTTTTTAATCATTTATTACATGTTTTCACTACTTAAGAGCTCTTACATCACAATATAACAACAACCAAATCTAGTATGAATATGGCAAATGAAAAGTAAAGATAATATAAATGTACAAGGCATGTTTATGAAAATCCAGTGTCAGGCCTTCGAGGCAGGCTAGATCAAGAAACAGACATTGCAACGATTCCAAAAATGATACTTTATTGTGGCAGTATATAGTAACATAATTTTGAAAGCCAGTCCAAGTTTCTCTTAGTTCCATCTTATACTAAACAAAATCAAAATGTGGTTATTTTAAATTTCTTTCTCATGCTTCCTTCTATCTCTTTTGATCAAGCCTCTTTTTAGTGGAATAGATTGCTCCTTCCTTCCTCCTTTGACAGCTATCTCATATCTGCCTAAGGTTAGTTCTCTGGTCATTTACATCAAGGTATAGCCTGAGTTTTAGAAAGCTGCATGTATATTAACTCTTCCATTGCAAAGTCAGGATCTGATACGCTCTGAAATTTAGCTACATTAGTGGAATCCAATTTTATACGGTCTCTTTAAACTACCCAGAAAAAAGCAACCATTTGCACTAGCATTTCACGTGCACCTAAAGATTAAAATGGGGCAGGCCTCCACCCTCCTAACCTTTCATAAAGCATTGAAGACCTGGCTTTTCTCCCTAGCGGTAGGATGAGCTGTCTGCCTACTGGAAACTTGACTTCATGCAAGATTTTTGTTTTTAAATATATTTGGTTATTATAGTTTTAATATGGCCTTTATGTTATTTTAATTTTTGATTGGGAGCCACTCAATTTGTTGTAAGATGGGAGAATATAAAAATGTTTTAAATAAATAAGGTCAAGTTTATTTATTTATTTATTTTATTTATATCCCGCCCTTCTCCTTACGGACTCAGGGCGGCTAACAACCAGATAAAAATACTAATCCCAAAAAACTACAGATTAAAAACATAATTAAAAACAAATATTAATAATTGGTCTAGTTAGTTAAAAATTACTTTAAAACCCCCATTAAAAATTTTCCCCTAGGCCAGTCCTGCAAGTTGGAATAACCATGTCTTAAGGGCGCGGCGGAAGGAAGGGAGATCAGGGATCACCCTGATCTCTGGGGGTAGTTCATTCCAGAGGGTGGGAGNGCATATCTCAATTAGAATCATAGAAGCTGGAAGAGACTTTGGAAGCCTTCTAATCCAACCCTCTGCCCAAGGCAGGAGTCCTCATAACATCTCAGACAAATGGTTGTCCAAATGTTTCTTGAAAACCTTCAGCCACAGAGTACCCACAATTCTGTGAAGCAAGCTGTTCCATTGATTAATTATTCTCGATGTCAGGAAAGCCCTTATTTCCAGGTTGAATCTCCCTCTGATGAGCTTCCATCCATTGCTTCTTGTCCTGACTTCAGATCTATGGGGAGTAAATCAATGTCCTCTTCCCTATGATAGCCCTTCAAGTACTGAAAGACTGCTGTTTATCTCCCCTGAGCCTTCTCTTCATTAGGCTAAATATACCTACTTCCTTAGCCATTCATTGTATGATTTAGCCTAGAGGTCTCTTATCATTTTTGTTGCTTTTCTCTATACTCATTCCAGGGCTTCAGAATCTTTTCTGAATCATGATGACCAGAACTGGATGCAGTATTCCAAGTCCAGTTTCACCAGTGCCATATAAAGCAGTACTATCACTTCCTGTGATCTTGCTGTTATTTATTTATTTATTTATTAATTTAATTTATATCCCGCCCTTCTCCTTGCGGACTCAGGGCGGCTAACAACCAGATAAAATGCTACTACCAAAAAACTACAAATTAAAAACATAATTAAAAACAAATATTAATAATTGGTCTAATAGTTAAAAATTACTTTAAAACCCCCATTAAAAAATTTTTCCCCTAGGCCAGTCCTGCAAGTTGGAATAACCATGTCTTAAGGGCGTGGCGGAAGGAAGGGAGATCAGGGATCACCCTGATCTCTGGGGGTAGTTCATTCCAGAGGGTGGGAGCTCCCACAGAGAAGGCCCTCCCCCTTGGGGTCGCCAGCCAGCACTGTCTGGCCGACGGCACCCTGAGGAGACCCACCCTGTGGGAGCGTACAGGCCGATGGGAGGTAATCTGCGGCAGAAGGCGGTCTCGAAGACATCCCGGTCCGATGCCATGGAGCGCCTTAAAGATGATGGTCAGCACCTTGAAGCGCACCCGGAAGGCCACCGGCAGCCAATGCAGCTCGCGCAGCAGCGGTGTTACATGGGAGCGACGAGTCCCTCCCAACACCGCCTGCGCGGCCGCATTTTGGACTAGCTGGAGCCTCCGGGTGCTCCTCAAGGGAAGCCCCATGTA